CCTACACATAGTAATATGTTTAATAACAAACAGTGAGAACGAAATACTACTGATTTCATGCTGTTATCTTACAGACAGTAAATAGAAGCAAATCAAACACATTTTGAATCCAATTTCTTACAAACTTCTCCAATGACTGTACTGTTAAGATTTATCTCATTCCAACTAGTGCAGGTTGAAAATACCTAAATTACAACACAGAAAACAACATTCCTCTCTCAGTGTAAACCAACAGGTTGTTTGCCTTCCTCAGCAAACGGTTACTTATCCAAAAGAACTTTGAAAGAATTTCATTTTTGGTAAATGGTACAAGAATCCTCCTAGGAAGAGATAATTTCACTTACTGGAAGAAATAACAGCAATCTTTAGAAATTTAACAACATAAATACTACCTTACTTTTGTTTGTACACAGCAAACCTGACAGAATAAGTAGTGGTGTCTACACATTTGTCAAACACACATAATTGGCTGAGAATTTATTTTTCTTATTTTATTAGTTTATTTACTATACCTATGTACCAAAATAATCACTTCTAATGCAAATTTCAGTAGAGGAAGAAAGAAATCTCTGAAGTTCCTTAAAGTTCTTATGTTGCCAGCACAATCCGTGTATCAAATATCACTTTCCAGCAAACAGAAAACAAACTAAGGAAAAGAAACTAATAGCGCTACCTTATACAAATAAGGTAATACTATGCAAGCCAGATGTGCTCTTGAATAGCTCCAACCCAATAGTCAAAGATCCCAAAAGACTAGTTGAGTCCAACGTTAACACAGATGCTGCTAATACTGGATAGTCTAAGGCTAAAGTCAGTTTAGTTACAAAATCCAATCAGAATGGAAATCAAGTCTTTCAATTAAAGGGGAAAAAAAAAAAAAGCCAAGAACTAGCTAATTTTAATCTGTTGACTACTTAAAAATTCAATTAAAAATGTATGTGCTTTCAGCAGTGCAAAGGTTCAAATGTAAAACTACATGACATACTTTAAAATAATTTTTATTAGATCACATCACAGAAAATAAATCTTTTCATACCCTTACACTATACAAAGTGAAGACATTGCACATGGATAGCAAAATCTGCAAATCACTCACACAAAGCCTACATCCTAAAACCCTCCAGTACACCTCGTCCTTGTTGCCTACAGCTACCAACATACTGCAGCTTGGGAGATTACCATTTCTATTACCAATTACTTGCTATGGACTTAAAGCACATAATTTCCTTTTCTCCATACAGTAACCAAAATCATTTTGTCCTCTATTAATGATTCTCTGAGCAGGCAAAGCCCAGGCTATGTCACCTGGTCCCCTCCAGCAAGTGAGTCACCATCTACTGTATATATCCATACATTCAACAAGTTATTTGATTCCTTGTCTCCTGTTCTCAGAGCACAGACCTTTTGGGTTGCATCTACTGAGCCACAAAATTCACAGCTAACTGACAGCAGAGGCCACAGTTTAATTAACCTAGCAGTCATTAATAAACTTTTATTTATATACAAATACATGCTAGTGAAAATATCTGCTATATTAAGCAAATGGAAATCACATTACAGAAGAAATTGCAAATTAATTCCAAATAAATTGTGATGTAATGACAAAACAAAATTAAACCAAGTATAATTAAATGAACTATACATAGCCTCTGTTTCCTGTAATGCACAGATTAATGATTTACATTTAAATGCTTCTTTGATCTCATTAATTCTCTTTGTAGAAAGTTCTCCTTTTATTACAATAATTTCTGAAGATTGTTATAAATCACTGCAAAGGTCCAAATTTGGAAGTTACGCAACAAAATAATGATTCGATACTTCAAAAATAACGTTGTGCATAACAAGAGACATATTTATCCAATAACGATGAGATGCTGATGAGAAGACCATACAGAGAGGAACACTGCTGATACAAGCAGGAACAGAAATGTCAATATATGTTTCAAGAGAAGAAGACACGCCAGAACGCCGACTTCTAAGCTTGAAATACAA